GAAGAAGAAGAAGAAGAAGAAGAAGAAGAAGAAGAAGAAGAAGAAGAAGAAGAAGAAGAAGAAGAAGAAGAAGAAGAAGAAGAAGAAGAAGAAGAAGAAGAAGAAGAAGAAGAAGAAGAAGAAGAAGAAGAAGAAGAAGAAGAAGAAGAAGAAGAAGAAGAAGAAGAAGAAGAAGAAGAAGACAACGACGACGACGACACCCAAAGGTCATCTCCTACCTTCCCATCAGGTCCACTTGCAACAGAGAAGACATATTCCAACAGGAAGACCACTCCAAATGCCGGGTGAGGCACCATCTCAGCCAGGTGGATGCGGCTTCGCAGGATGAGAGCTTGTCCCTCGGCACTGGGGGTGGAAGAAGCAAAGGAAAAGAGTGAGGGACCACCCGTGGTGTCCCCAACGATATTCATGCTTTCCCGTTTCCCGGTTCTCACCTGCCCTTGAAGGGACTTCCTTGTTTCCGGCGCACGCTGTCGGCGCTTCCGCGAGCTCTGTCGGCCTCTGGCAATGCCACGGGGACCACCACCACCACCTGGGGGGGCTGCACGAAGCACAACCCGTTGTGGACGCCAATGTGTAGCCGGCGCTCCTGGATCGCGAGGGAGGTCCCATCCAGGATCGAATTCGCCTGGATTCGATCACAAGAGCATAATGAACTCTATTATTGTAGGCAGGCTCACCCCTTGGTACCCCATCCCTAGGAAGGCGGATTATTACAGATAGCCCCCGATTTACGACCATTTGAATTTACGACGGGACTGAAAAGAGGGACTCATGACCAGTCCTCTCACTTATGACCGTTGTAGCACCATGTCACGTGATGGGTCACCTGGGTCCTTGGCAACCGGCACGTATTTAGGATGGTTGCAGGGTGCCAGGGTTGTGCGATTGCCATTTGTGACCTTCACAAGCAAAGTCAAGGGGGGAAAGTTGGATTCGCTTAGTGACCACGTGATTCACTTAATAATCGGTGATTTTACTCGACAACCGTGGCAAAGGAGGTCATGAAATTCGAGGGGCGGGGGGTTGGACTAGATGACCCCCAAGCTCCCTTCCAACTCTCTCATTCTGTGTTTAGCACAACTGAGTGAACAGTTTCCTGGCTTAGCAAGGGAAATTCCAGCTCTAATTGTGGTTGGGTGTTTGAGGAGGACCGAGATTAGATAAGTTTTATTTTATTTATTTAGTACTGCCTTGATTTGTGGCCCACCTGGCGGTTCAAATTAAACCCCAGCGGGGACCAAAATGAGGGTTTCTGAGAAATTTCTCAAAACTTGGAAGCAGCCTCTCTCCCCTCTTCCGAAAAACGGGTATTTCTGGCAGGCAAGTTCCATTTGGGGCCGATGCACCAAGGACGATGCACTGCCCCGTGGGGTGCCGGGTGCTAATTTTACGCCATCTGTCATAAACTAATAAAACTCAAAGCTGCCCCAGAGTGATTGCGGGATATTAAACCGTTTCATCTTCTCCCTCTTTTCTCCTTAAGGTCATTATTGCTTTTCTAAATTACGGGGAGCTCCCGGAGACAGACATTAAAACTAAGGATTCGCTCTCTGGCTCCATCCATCTCCAGCCGGGCCCTTCGCAAAACAGCTCATTAGCGCTTGCCCCTCGTGGAGGGGGGGACCATCAGCATTGTAAACGGGCATCCAGGAAGCTGATAAGAATTTTCCTCTTAAACAGAAGGAAAACAAAGACCGCAAGGCAGCTCCCAGGCTGGCATGCAAACAGAAAAAAAGAAAAGAAAAAAAAAGAAACGTGGATATGGAAAAGATCTGCAGACAAACAAACGAGGAAAAAGGCTGCGGTTGTCCCCATAATAGAAAGTTTATTCCTCTGGGAAATCACCCGTTTTTCACCATCGGAGAAAAAAATTCATAACTAAAAATTAAAAAAAATCCCAGTTTGCTAAAGATTTGTTTTGGGTTTTTTCAAGAGAGTCTGTAATCCTTGAGGACTTCAGAATATAATCTAGAACAGTGCTTGACACCCTAAAGTAGCTGCTGGGGGTGGCCCACAAGGCCGAGTTCCTCAACCTTAGCAATTTTAAGGCGTTTGGACTTCAACTCCCAGAATCCTCGCTGGCTTCAGCGGGAGGACAACCTGAGACAGTTGTAGCCAAGACTGCATCAGCGCCTGGTGGAAACATGAGGATGCAAAGAGCTTAAGCCCGGCCCTGATTAATCATGATGGCCCCAATTATAATTACAATCACAGCTATAATTAAATGGGTTCTGAGCAAGGATAGATAGATAGATAGATAGATAGATAGATAGATAGATAGATAGATAGATAGATAGATGATAGATAGATAGATAGATAGATAGATAGATAGATAGATAGATAGATAGATAGATAGATGATAGACAGATAGATATGGATGGACAGACAGACAGACAGAAAGATAGACAGACAGTGATGAGAAAGAGACAGATGAGAGAGAGAGAGAGAGAGAGAGAGAGAGAGAGAGAGAGAGAGAGAGAATACGGATAAAGAGACAGAGAAGACAGAGAAGACAGACAGACAGACAGACAGAAAGACAGATATGGATAGATAGAGATAATAGATATGGATAGAGATAGATAGATAGATAGATAGATAGATAGATAGATAGATAGATAGATAGATAGATAGATAGATAGGTAGGTAGGTAGGTAGGTAGGTAGGTAGGTAGGTAGGTAGGTAGGTAGGTAGGGATGGATGGATAGACAGACAGACAGACAGACAGTGATGAGAAAGAGACAGGAGAGAGAGAGAGAGAGAATACGGATAAAGAGACAGAGAAGACAGACAGACAGACAGACAGACATGACTAGATAGAGATAATAGATATGGATAGAGATAGATAGATAGATAGATAGATAGATAGATAGATAGATAGATAGATAGATAGGTAGGTAGGTATGGATGGATAGACAGACAGACAGATAGACAGTGATGAGAAAGAGACAGATGAGAGAGAGAGAGAGAGAGAGAGAGAGAGAGAGAGAGAATACGGATAAAGAGACAGAGAAGACAGACAGGCCCACCTGCTCGTTCATCAGCAGGCTCAGGAGCTCCTCCTCAAACCTCTCCAGGGAAGGATACAGGTGGACGGCCAGCCTGTCCAGGTACCAGGTCTGCGTCTTCATGAGTCGGGGCTTCTGCAAAAAGTCTCCTGCAAAGAGAGGAGACAATCACAGGGTCAAAGACTGAACTAAACCACGATGGAGCCCCAATTTTATCTTGCTAAGTGAGACCTTTGTTAAGTGAGTTTTGCCCCATTTTACGACCTTTCTCGCTCCGGCCGTTCAGCGAAAGACTGCAGTTGTCAAAGTTAGCAACCCTGAATTTTGATCACATGACCACGGGGATGCGGCAGAGAGCGTAGGTGTGGAAAAAGGGAGGGAGGGAGGGAAGAAGGGAGGGAAAGGGTTATGCATACCTTCAGGTGCTGCTAAGACCCCAGGGACCCTCTCCCCACGGGACACGGGGGTGTTCTCAGGCAGGAGGTGGTAGATGACCTCCAAGGGTGGGTGGAGCTGCAGGGTGCACTGCAGGTGGCTGTTTTCCATCACTGCCAGGTACTTGTTTTCTAAAGAAGAAAAAAGGACAGAGCGAAAGAAGGAGAAGAAGAAAGATAGAAAAAGGAAAAAGAACGGAGGGAGGAAGGAGAAAGAGGGACGGAAGAAGGGAGGGAAGAAGGATAAGAGAGAGTGGAAGGGAAGGAGGGAGGGAGGACAAAGAGGAAAGAAGGAAGGAAAGGGAGAGAACGTGAGGTAATAAATGAAAACTGCATCAGGACAATTCGAATCTATACCAAGGAGTAGCTGCAACCAGTGAGAAGAAGGTTGAGTTATCTTGAATCTGAATTTCAACAATTAGGAGTTGATTTCCAATAGCCGGTCCCTTTTTCTCCTCTCCTCACAGCCTGAACCGTTCCCTCCCCCCCTTTTCCAACCTTGCAAGGCTGTTTTTCTGAGGATCTCCCAGCTGCAAAGAACACAAGGCCTGGCCTGTGCAAACCACTGGGTGCCCTGCGACTTACTCTCGATGGGCTCCAGGAGCAGCGGGTGCAGGAGGGCGCGGGGGGTCCCCTGATACAAAGCCAGCCTGCAGAGAGAAGGGGAGGATCGGATCAGAGCGAAAAAAGGAGTTTTTGAGAGCTGAGTTGGTGATTGGCCCAAAATTACCCAGCCGGCTTTCTTGCCTAAGGCGGAACTAGAATTCCCAGTCTCCTGGTGACTGGCCTAAAATCACCTAGCTGTCCTTCCTGCCTAAGGCAGGACTAGAACTCCCCGTCTCCTGGTGATTGGCCCAAAGTCACCCAGCTGGCTTTTATGCCTAAGGCGGAACTAGAACTCCCCGTCTCCTGGTGACTGGCCCAAAGTCACCCAGCTGTCCTGCCTAAGGTGGCACTAGAACTCACCATCTCCTACTTTCTAGTTCAGCATTTTTATGTTCACCACAAGGTCTGCCCTTCACAGCCCCTGGCAAGGTGTTAATTCCCACCCCATCTGGCAGAAGGGCGCCTGCTTTTAGAGAACTGCCTAGACCCGTGTCCAAGTGACTCCTTGCCACCGATTCCAACCGCGTTTCATCCCGAAGCTGACCAACATACCCTTTGCCCGTCGAGTTCCAAATCACCGGCTCGGATTTGCCGTTAAACAACCGGAGGAGCCCGAAGCCGCAGCCGAGTTCCTGGGGGGCCGCGCCCTGCCCCTTGGCGGTCGCCACGACCTCTAGCACCATCAAGACGCCCGGGTGACCCAAAGACGTGTGGAAATACACCGTCTAGGAGGGCAGAGGGGAGAATTTCGGGGACCGCAAACTGTGGACCCCCGTGTGCCGAACCCATTTTGAATCCTTAAATGAGAGGCATCACGTTTGAAGGGGGCTCCCTGGAAAGATGTTTGGACTAAAAGAAATTTTAATTGAAAATTAAATTCTTGAAAAATTAAAATGTAAGAGCCCCCAGCTGCAGGGAGGACAGAAGGATCATTAGCCAGAGGGCAAGTTCAGCGGGCAGAGAGTTAAAAAGTTCTGGCAGCTTTTTCACGCGATTCCTGGAACAACAGCGCCCTCTGCTGCTGGGATCTGAAAGACCAGCTGTTCTGGGATGGAGACCCCACTTTTGACCACTGAACTGGGAGGATTATTAGGAAGCAGGCAGAATTTTTTTTCAGATTCTGGAGAAAATTCTTTTTCTTTCTTTTTTTTAAGAGTGATATTTTGCAGGGAAGATAATAACCGGTGCAGGGAAGGTGATTTTACTAATTGTATTTATTATGAAATTTATATCCTACCCACCGGAAGAGAGACACCCTCCATCGCAGAGGAACCAGCCTACGGGACCCACCACGACCCACGAACGGGCCCTTACCTCGTTGAAGACCACGGAGGGTGGCTGCCCTGGGACGGATTTCAGAGGCCTTGGGGTGCTTCTCCAGGTCCTGCCAAAGAACTGGCGGTAGGCCACGTCGAAGAGCGAAAGGCGCAGCTGGAAGGCTACCTCCACCATGTTTTCAAGCACTTTCTGTTCAAGAGATGGACCAGGGAGGGGAGGGTGAGGGACGGAGAAGCAGAGGGGGGAACATCACAGATCAATAGGAAATATCAAATTGTAAAGGAGTAGCTGAAAGAGGAAGGATAGGAATTGCACGGAGTTGATCAAGTCTTGCTTTACACTTGACGGTAGGATTTGGGTTGTCAACTTGATGTCATTCACGTAAGCCCTGAACCCGTGTTTGTCAAGCTTGGTCACCTTGAAAGGGGTGGACTTCAACTCCCAGAATTCCAGAGGGAGGGAGGGAGGAAAGGAAGGAAAATGAAAGGGAGGGAGGGAGGGAGGGAGGGATGGATGGATGGATGGAAGGAAGGAAGGAAGGAAGGAAGGAAGGAAGGAAGGAAGGAAGGAAGGAAGGAAGGAAGGAAGGAAGGAAACCAGAGGAGAAAGAAAGGAAACCAGAGGAGAAAGAGAGAGGGAGGGAGGTGGCTGGTCAGAGAATTCTGGGTATTGAAGTCCACGCACCCTAAACCTCTTAAACCTACAAACCACAGAACAGAGATAATAAAATCACTAGAGACAGCAACTTAAAAGAGGTTAAGGAGATCTTGCCTTGAATAGGGGGTTGGACTAGAAGACCTCCAAAGTCCCTTCCAGCTCTATTCTGATTGATTGATCTTACTTGTTTCAAGGCACTCCCGTGCACGCTCTTCAAGACGCACTGAAATGGCACCGATCGCTGGAGTGGCAAATTCGGCCTCCGGACGTTACGGGGAGGCACGGTTAGGCTTTGGCGGAAGATCTTATGCCACTCCCCCATCCTGGGGACCAGGTGTGGTGGCACCGTGTTTCACCTTGGCCTCAGGGCTTCCTGCCTTTAAGCACATAACAAAAAATTGTTTCGTAAGTAGGGAAGAGATCCCTTCTGCTTCATTTCTTAGAGAAAAGAGTAGGTTTGGACTAGAAAATCTGAATCGTTGTCAAGATGGCCGCACACCTCTACACCTGAAGGCTTTAAAGCAGAGTTTTTCCACCTTGGCAGCTTGAAGATGTGTGGCCTTCAATTCCCAGAATTCCCCAGGCAGCCATGCTTCCCCCCCCTCTCATTTTCCCCTTTCCATAGTGGAGAGATTGCAGAGGAAGGGATTAGAAGAGAGTAAGCGGGCCACGATGGAAATACACCTCCAAAGGAATGCATTAGCACCAGGGAATTGAAGTCTGCACTTTTTCAAACTAAGATGGGAAAACATTGATGTAGAAGTATAAAAAGTACCAGCTTTAAAGCCAAAAAACTCTCTTAAACTTGTACCGAAGGGATGGTGTTTGAAGGACAAGGTCTTCCTACACCAGGAGCTGTCGAATTTCAGCTCTTAATTTAGTTGCTCGTTTGACACTAAGCCTTTTTTTTTTTTTTTGCAAGGTCACAATGATTCAGAGATTTCACAGGGAGAGCTGAAGAGAAGCTGACTTCATCAGAAAACACACTCCAGAAGAAGAAAAAAAGAATAAAAAGTGCCCCAAAGCAATCTGCAAAATAAAAAAAAAAAAAACCAAATCCAAAAGAAATATCCTTGATTCTTAAGTCAATTTTTTGCATTCACACTTTCAGTTTTGCGTGGAACGTAAATGGCACGGAACTCTCTCCATGTAGTAAATGATACCATTTAATAAATATATTAAACTAATCAGCGGAAGGGCTTCTCCCCAGAAGTTGCGGGTGCTCCATCACTGGAGAGTCCTTAAGAGATTGGACAGGCACAGATTCGCTTAACTATTGTGGCAAGAAAGGTCATAAAGTTTGCTTAATAAATGTCTCACTCAGGAGCAGAAATTGTGGTTGTTAAATTGAGTACTTGTAGTCTCTTTGTATCAAATCTGTGGGATGCGCAGCTTGAATGTGGCCCATGAAGCTGCAAAATAGAGATTTTCAGATAAAAGTTCCTTGCCGGAAAAAATCAGAAAGTCCTCACCTCTTGACACAATTTGCCATCAAAAAAACGAGATTGCTTCTTTCACCATCTAATCGCTGCCTCTAGGAAACACAATATTTTTTTTTAAAAAAAACACACACTATTAGGAGCTGGGGAAGTGGCAAAACGTCGAATTTTCCTGCTAAGCTGGATGCTAAGCAGCTTAAGGCTACCAAAACCCTGTTTTTTTCTCCCCTTGGAAGCATTAAATCCACACACTTAATGTTCCAAGCGATGCGCTAACACTGGAAAAAGAGAGAGAACATATTGTGTAATTCGTCCTCCCACTAAGAGCCACGGATATATCGATGCGTTTGCTGATTTTTTTAACAGCAGCTGCGCATTGCCCCAGTACAAAAAAGAACAGCGGAATTAATCAAGCATTTTAACACGCCGCGTAAATAGGCAGGCGACAGCAGCGTGAGGTTAGCCTGAAAAATTGTTATTTTTGTATGCTTTTAGGCTAGTAAAATGCTCCGCTGAGTAAAAACACACAGTACAAAATGTTCTTAGAAGCAAGCTGTTTCTCTCTTGGTTTTTTCCTTTCTTATATGGCTGCACAAATAAGCACAAATCCAGAATAAAGGAATGGCTCTAAAATGCAATTTAACTGAATTTTAGGCCCAAATGTGATGAGCAATTTAGCCAGGAGGGCATGCCAGCCGATTTTAAACTGGCAAATGTAGTGGGGATTTATATGTTGGTCTGTCCAACTCAAGCTACACATGACCTCAAAACTTGTCTGTTCATTCAAGAGTTACTGTAAGTCTGCAAATGTTATGTCTGAAAACACAATCTGTTCACACTACAGGTAAATATAAATAAAAACATTTTTTTTTAAAACTCACGTGGATACTGAGATACTGTGTATTCTACCAGATACACACCCACCCACCCACATAAATGCAGTATAAAACATATGCATACAATACCTATAAATATATGAAACCTATAATACATGTTGCAATGTATAACTTATATGCAATAAGCATACATATATGCAATATAAACATGCAATATAAAACATATATGCAATATCTAAACATGTACATATATACAATAAACACAAAGACAATAGAAAACAAACATATACACATATATATACATGCAATATATAAATGTATACATAGGTAAAGTATGTATATGTGCAATATATAAACACTTAAGGAGATAAACTCATGCACCCTCCCATAAAACAAAGCTGCCCCCCCTTTTTCACCAAGCATTTGGGGTGCCCTCCCCAAGGAACGCATTTTCCATCTCCCCCTTGCACTAAACCACATTGTAACCTGGTTTTAAACCCCACCCTGGTCATTCCCAAGAAAGTTCAGCCTTGGCCAACTTTCTTGGGGACCCCCCCCGTTTGAAACCAATGAAGGTCGCCCCCTTTTACACTCTTATATCCCTGGCTGCCCTTCCCCACAGCCTCACATACTTAAAAGGCCTTTTCTTGAAGCCATTTTGTTTTTTTTGGGGGGGGGGGGCTTTCATAAGCAACCTAATTTCACCCCCTTCCACCTCAACAGACCCCCCTCCAACTTTGGGGTCCTGGGAGGGGAGAGGAGGAAAAGCACTCTCCACATGCTCAGAGGCACCCTTGTCTCTGTCAGTTCTGGGGGGGGGCTTTCTGAGAGGAAGTGGGCGGAAGGGCCACCTGGGACAGCGGAGGGAGGGCAGGAAGGCCCCCAACTCCCGCCGGCCAATCAGCGCGCTCTCCCAAAGCCTCCCGAGGTCGGGGCTGGCGGCAGCCAATCAGCGGACGCCACTCCTTTCCGTCCCCCCAATGGGGAGAGCCGAGAAAAGGCTCCCCCATTCTCCTCCCCTCACCTGCCGTTCCCGCGCTCCCCTTCTTTCGGTCGGCGGCCGCCATCTTGGTCGGGGCGTACCACTAGCATCGCGGGGGAGATCACACCAATCCCTCTGCTCCTCGGTTAAAGCCTCTCTGACGAGACAAGCTGTCTGAGCTTCGCTTTGCGCTCCTCCACGTTTTTAACGTCCTCTCCTTCCTCGCTTTGCCGCCTCTACTCCTTCCCTCCCTCCCGACACGGCTTTTATCTTCCTTCCCCCCCCCAATTCTGGTAAATGGTTCGACCCAGCAGGCGGGCCGCCATCTCGGTGTTGTAGCAAAGCCGTTGCCAAGGGCGACCCAGAAAGGGGCGTGGCCCGATGCTAAACCAAAGCCCCGCGCGCGGGAAAGATGGGGAAGACACGTGGTTGCGTTGCGCTCCCTTTCTGGTCGTGTGAATGCGGGTGTTGCCTTCCGAGCGTGTCCATATGAATTTATGCTGCCTCCACTTTCGGGGAAACCCGGGATGATAGCCACAGCTCCCTTCTTCTACCACGACAACCCTGCAAAGAAGAACAAGGCATGGGATTATATCAATAGCGGCCTTGCAAACCTTAATTTGTGGCTTGGCAATGTTGGGTTAGCCCAGCCAATGGTCCTTTATGCTGTAGATCTTAGTTTAACAGTATTCTAGACCTGTTTTTTTGGAAGTTGGCAATTTTAAGGTGGGTCGACTTCAACTCCCATCAACGCTGGGTGGGGAATTCTAGGAATTGAAGTAGACCCATCTTAAAGTGACAGAGATTGAAAAACACAAATACAGCTAGTCCTTGACTTAACGAGCCCAATTGAGCCCAAAATTTATGCTGACAAGTGAGAAATTTGTTAAGTGAGTTTTGGCCCATTTTATGACTTTTCATTTAAGTGAATCACTGCAGTTGTGAAACGAGTCACATGGTGGTTAAGTGAATCTGCCTTCCCCACTGACTTTGCTGGTCAGAAAGTCGCAAAATGGGATCACGTGACCCGGGAGACGCTGCAATGGTCAGAAGTATGAAAAATGGTCATAAGTCACTTTTTTCAACGTCAAACAGTCACCAAATGAACTGCTATAAGTCGAGAACTGCCTGTATGGAAATCACACCACCAGGAAATCACACCCTAATTTCATAGTCATTGGACTTGCTAACAAGGGCTACTAACCTCGATGCCTGTTTATCATATGGATTAAAGATGGCTTGTTTTTCAAAGCGGGCAAAGAAGGCCACGGTCCTCTCTGTGTCCGTAACTGAGCCAAAGATCACGGTTTACACAACCCCGGATGGCCAGAACGCCATCCTGGCTTGCACCTGCCCCCTAGAGAGCCCAAGCCATGGTTTGGCATGGGTCGCATGGTCCTCCGCCTTTACAAGCTCCATCCAGCCAGGGAGCATCGCGACTTGCAGCAGCCAGGATGCGCCCAAAAGGATGCTGCGCACCTGGGTACCAGCCCGGGGCCAGGGATGCAGGCGAGGGCGCTCATTGGCCGCCCCGCCCGCCGGTCAGCGGGAGGCGCTTCCCGGCCTGCCAATGGCGGCCGAGGGCGAATTGCAGGCGGGCGATTGACGGCGCCGCCGGGCCAATGGGCGGCGCCGGCGGGCGGGCTCTCTTCGCACGAGGGGGAAGATGGTTTTTGATCCCGGCCAGCCGCTCCGCTCCCGCCGCCGCCGCCGCCGCCGCCGCCGCAGGTAGGATCCGGGGACCCGGGGGGGGGCGTGCATGGGGGTGCTCCTTCCTTGGGGGGGTGCAGCTCCTTTGGGGGGGCTGCAAGGGCCTCCAGAAGCGGGGGGATCTCAGGTGGGGAAGGGGTTGCAATGGGGGGGGGGGCGATTGCAGCAAGAGGCAACCCCAGGGGGGAGGAGGGGGCTGCAAAACATCCCCCTCCTCCCCCTCCCCTTCCTCCGTTTGCAAAGGCTACAAAGCACCAGAGGTTGGGGTCCCCCCTCCCCCTGCTGCATCGCCCGCCGCCACTGCAGCAGCTTGGTGCAGGATGCATGCATGCATGCAGGAAGCAGCTGGCCCTCT